CCGCTACATACCCAACCCCTTTTTTCATTTTCTTATTTTGAAACAGAGTCTCACTAAATTGCCTAAGCTGGCCTCAAATTTGTGATCTTCCTGCCTCAGTTTCCAAGCAGCTGAGATTACAGGTATGTACCACAATGCTGGCTAAATAAGTTTAATTTTTAAAAAAATTTAGATATGAAGCCATCCCTCTATTTTCATACCAACCTGGCACAATCCTGTACCTAAATGTACCTATTATAATTAATTCAGTATTTATTGAGCAGTACCTGCTAGGTGCAAAGAAATGTTAGGATCACAGGAAACAAAGATACAAATGAATGTAATGGCCTTGAAAAAAATTAGCATCTAGCAAAAGAATTTGTGGTCTGCAAGGCTTCTGATGAAGGTTATGTCAGCAACTCAATGATGCTTAAATGTGGAACATGTTCTATACTTTTACTCAAAGACAATCCTTAAACCAGGCCACACACCTGTAACCTCAGCTCACCTGTAACGTCAGCACTCAGAAGGCTGAGGTGAGAGAATCGCTGCAAATTCAAGGCCAGTTTGGGTTACATAGTAAGTTCAAAGCTAGACTGAACTATACAGCAAACAAAAGACAACTCTTTAATATGGACAAAAACACGTCATGTCCAGCACTTCATAACTGAAAGAACAAACCAGCATTTCATCACATCAGAAATTAAACATCCACAGCCAGGCATGGTGGTGAACACCTGTAATCCCAGCACTCGGGAGGCTGAGGCAGGAGGATTGTTTCGAGTCCAAGACCAGCCTGGGCTACAAAGTGAGCTCAAAGCTAGGCTGAAGTGCACAGCGAGACCCTGTCTCAAAAAGAAAAAATTAATAAATAAGTATGTACTATAAACTATTTTATTCATTATGCAAACGACAAAGTTCAAACTCTAGGACTGAGTCTCATAAAATTAAAAACTCCTAAAACCATGTTACCATCATAATTCATCAGCTAATACATATATAATCAATGACAAATTAGCAATAACAAGAAACAGCCTACAACATAACTTTATTATAACCTATGATGAAGAACATTTTTTTTTTTTTTTTTTTGGTCTTCTTGAGACAGGGTCTCACTATGCAGTTCAGGCTGGCCTTGAGCTCACTTTGTAGCCCAGGCTAGTCTCGAACTTGTAACGATCCTCCTGCCTCAGCCTCCAGAGTGCTGGGATTATAGGCATGCGCCACCACACCTGGCTCAATTCCTCATTTAGTGACCAATTCATCCAATGTCCTAGTCACAGAACAGTAGCTCGGTTGTTGAATATTTGTATTGAGCAATCATAATGTTTCAGATCCTGAGACTAAAACCTCATTGCAGGGTGGGGGATATAGCTAAGTGGCACAGCACCTGCCTAGCAAGGTCCTGAGTTCAATTTCCCAAAAAAAAACACCTCATGGCAGCAGAGGGATAAACAGCAATTGCAAAGCAGAGTGGGCATTTCTGGTGTGCTGATAACTCGCCATCTCTTGGCCTAGCCAGCAAACATGGATGGCATCCACTTTGTATTAATGAACTGAACAGGTAGTGATGATTTGAGCAATTTGCTCCAAGCATATTATACTTTTAAAGAGTGTTATTAAAGACAGCTGGGTATGGTGGTACACATCTGTAATCCCAGCACCTGGAAGGCTGAGGCAAGAGGCTATCACTCCAAGTTTTGAGCCAGCTGAGGCTAGCTACATAGAGGAGAGGAGGGGAGAGGAGGGGAGGGGAGAGGAAGAAAAGGGGAGAGAAAGAGAAAGGAAGGGAGGGAAGGGGAGGGGAGATATGGTGGTTCATGCCTATAGTCCCAGCACTGGGGAGGCTGAGGCAGGAGGAGGATCACTGCTGCGAGTTTGAGGCCAGCCTGAACTGTATAGTGAAACCCTGTCTCAGAAAGACCAAAAAATAAATAAATAAATTCTACAAAGGCTAGGTTATAGATCAGTGACAGATAGTTTGGCTAGTGTGTGAGGCCCTGGCACTACACACACACACACAAATTTACCAATCACGATAAATGATGCAACCACAGTAGATATACTAGATACCTAAGGTATACTGAGATCAAAAAGAAAACCCAGAGGCAGTGACATCTAAGGTGTTTTGTTTATGATACTGGGGATTAAACCCTGGGCTTTTCCACTGAGTTACATCTCCAGCCCTTTTTTACTTCTTGAGACAGGGTCTTACTAACTTGCTAAATTCCCAGACTAGGCTTGAACTTTGCAATCCTCCCACCTCAGCCTCTCAGAGTGCTGGGATACTGGCATGAGCCATCACACCCAGGGTTCTAAAGTGTATTTTAAGAACAACTGAGCACATCAGATGGTTAAATGAAAAAAGGATGGTCTGAAGACAGTGGTGATGAATGTGTGTGCCAACTGGGCTGTTTGTATCACTGAAAGCTCTAAAGGGTTTGCCATGACTAAGAGAAGGAAAACCATAGGAAAAAAAGTACCAAACCAAGCACTAAAAGTTTATCCAAAAAACTAGAGTAGTTTTCATGGTACAAAGATGACAATCTTTGTACTGTTGAACCCACAAGCTACACGCCAGAAAGACTTTTTCTCCTTCTTTCTGTAAGGTTCTCCAGGCCAAGATCTAAGGCTCAGTCCCAGCTTTCAAAACAATACAGTACAGTACAATGGAAGTATGTCTTTAAAAAATGAGCAATGTGCAGCCTCATGCCTATAATCCCACAGTGGCCATGCCTGTAATTCCAGCACAGAGGCTCAGGAGGACTACAAACGTTCAGAATGCACCTGGGCAACTCTGGGTGACACTGTGGAAGGATAGATAGATAGATAGATAGATAGATAGATAGATAGATAGATAGATAGATAGAGGGAGAGAGAGAGACAGGCTGGGATGTAGTTGGTGCAAAGGCCAAAGGCCCATAGTTTGTATCTCCAGGGCAGTGGCAGGAACCTACCTACACGTGCTGCAGGGCCAGGCAGAGCCCTCTGTCAGGATTCTAGCCAAGTCGTCCCAGCACCCCAGCACCCCAGCACCCAAGCATCAGATAACAGTTATTTTTTCGAAACTAAAACCTCAGTATTCAGGTTTAATTGCAGTGTTGGCACTTGTGATAAATAAGTGGTTTTTGGGTTGCAGTTTGGGCAGCTGGTCTCTAAAAGGTTTGCTACCACTGCACTAGGGGCTGGGGGACTTAGCAAGAAGTTTGTTCCCAAATACAAAAATGCTGTAGCAAGTGTCTGTGTGTGGTTTTTGAGCCAGGGTCACTATGTAGCTGGGGATGCTCTTAAACTCACTATGTAGTCCAGGCTGGCCTCAAACTAGTGGTGATCCTCCAGTCTCAGCTTTCCCCCAGTGCTGGGATTACAGGTGAGCACCACCACACCCAGTTTGAAAATGCTGTATCTTGAGATCTGACTAAGAACTCACCAAAGGAGAAGGGGAACAAGAGACACATGCAGGAATCACTGAGGAAATAAATTTACAAAGAAAATCTGTATTTTTAGTCCTGTCTCATTTCTCCAAAATACAACTCCCTTCATCCCTATCACCTAATTTACCCCCACTATCTAGATTCCTAGCTCAACTCCCTGCTTCCACAAGCATACAAATACAAGCCTTCTCCAAGCCTCAGCAGGAGTTAGAAAAGTTATCATACCCAAAACTCCCTACAGTGTGTCCTTCACCGTTAGAATAAAACTGAAACATGGCCCTCTGGACTTGGCCTCCCCTTTCCCAGCAAGCTCACAGGAGGCCTTTCCCTCACCCCAAGAGTACCCAAGCTACACACCTGCAAGACACTCTGGTCCTTCTGTGCAGATCTTCACCAGGATACACACCATCACGGCCCCCTCCAAGCCCAGCCGACGGTCACGTCTCACATTGTTACTTTTATTTTTCCAGACAGGGTCTCACTATGGAATTCAGGCTGCCCTCAAACTTACTACGGAGCCCAGGCTGGCCTCAAACTCGCAGCTATCCTCCTGCCTCTGCCTCGGGAGTGCTGGGATTACAGGCGTGCACCACAGGCCCGGCTCACACTGTTGCTTTCTCAAAGAACTTCCAGGACCAGTTTCTCTGGATCTCCAGTCTGGGTCCAGAAGAGGAAACAGTACCATTCTGAACATGATGAATCTAACTCAATTCCCATTTCACCCAGTTCAAATGTCACCATCTCCCAGAAGCCTTTCCATACTTATTCAATTAAATTTATTAATTTAGCCATCTCTCCACGGCTCCACAAGTTTCTTCTGTTGCTGTTACATAGTAATTTCTGCTCAGTATTGTTACCGCCTTAAAACAGTCTCATACTACACCCGTGTGTGTGCCACCTTCATTACACTGTGAGCCCTGAGGGACAAAGACCACGTCTTAATCACTCGTGAGACCAGAAAATAGGGGGAAAACGTATTTTTAATACGATAAAAATCAAGAAGAGCAAACAATTGAGCATAGGCTATGGATGATCACCCAGCTCTTTCCTTTTGTAAAATAAAACACATCTAATATGACTTACAAACTCTGTTCAAGAAAACCACCACCTGTCAACCCTCTAAAAATCAAAGCTAAATACAAAATACCCTCTCAGGCAAACGCCTATCCTGCCACAATACAATGAAAGACTGCCTCCTTCATGAACACGAAAGAGCTTTAATTTGGTGGGAAATTTAACATACCTCACTCTCTTTTCTAAATTACCGAAATTCTCCCCGAAACACACACAGGAAAACGAAAAGTTAAAGACGCGGGACGGGAGGGTGTCGAACCTGGCCTCGGGCCAGCCCCGCCCGCACGCCTGGGAAGCCATTGCTGCCAGGCCGAGGTTAGGCATTCGGACATTTTCCCAACAAGTTGTTCAGACGCACAGACTCCTGGAAGTCAACAGCAAAATGCTTCCTAGTGCCGCTCCCGAAACGAGGGCTGCGGGCGCGGCGCGTCCGACGAAGCACACAAGTGGGCCGAGGAGTTTCAAAGTAAAGGTTCACACCGGCAGCGCCGGAAGAGCGCGGGTGTGGCGTACCTTTCCCCGGCAAGGCTGACTGCGCCAGGGCGCGAGAGCCGCCTCTGAGTCGGCCGGGGCGGAGCGCGGGCTCCCCGGCGTCCAGGCACGCACCCCGGGAAGTTTCAGGGCGGGGGGAGGGGAGCCGCCAAACCCCGCAACAACCGCTTCCCCGGAAAACAACGGCCCGCCCGCCCCGCCCGGGAACCGAGCGCGAACCCGAGCGGGCGCACCGCGGCCGGCGCGCCGAGGGCCTCGGAACAAAGTTTAGAAGCTGGAGAAACTTTTCCGACAGGAAGCTCCGCCGCCTCGTCGGGCCTTGGCGTCACCCCTTCCCCAGCCGCGGCGCCCCGTAACTTCCCCGGAGCGCTAGGCGCCCCCGCCCGCGCGCCCTCAGCCCGCCCCGTGGGGACGCCCGACCCGC